AAGAAGCAAATCAAATTACTGATGAAAATAAATTCTCATTTGCTTATTGTCTTGTACGAAGTAAAGCTAAAGCTGATGTACGTCATGGTTTAACATTACTTCGAGAACTTTATGATTCAACGAAGAGTGATGATGCTAAACGTGATTATATATATTATTTAGCACTTGGTAAAAATCTTTTTCTTTTCTAATATAACAAAAACAAACTATAATGAATTACAATTTTAGGTAATGCTCGATTGAATGAATATGAAACAGCATTAAATTTTCTTGATGCAATTCTTCATTTACAACCTGGTAATCATCAAGCAAAAAATCTTAAAGAGGAAGTTACACGACGAATGACTCGTGAAGGATGTATGTTAAGATTCTTTTTGGAATAAACATAAGACATTTTTATTATTATTTTTAGATGTTGGTATGGGTATTGCTGTAGGTGCAGGTGCATTACTTGTTGGAGGTAAGAAGATAAAGCTTTCTGTTTTAATTTAGCATTACTATATTGCTATAGGAGGAGGAGGATTACTACTTGTTGGCGGTAAGGTTTGAAAATTACACACATAAGCTCTTTCTTGAGAATAATTCATAAAAACTATCCGTTTATTATCACATTTCACTCTTAAACCTCTACTTATTTATTGTTTTTTCATATAATCTTCATGAAATCAATGCTTGATTTTGTTTATTTTAGGTCTTACGGCTGCTGCTCTGGCTCTTTTAAAAAAATAAAATTATTGCATCCAAATATTTATTGATTATTTTCATTATGTACAGAAAAATTTAAACAAAAATAACTTTGAATCAACTATATATTTAATATACATATATTAAAATTCCAGCAAATTCTTATTCTTTTTTTTTTTATTGATATATTTTTTCTTTAATAAAAAAAGAGTTATTCTCCGCTGTCTATATACAAAACAAAACAGTAAATTAACAGATATTATACGGTCGCCGCCATTTTGGACCAGTTATTTGATGTATTCCACGGCAATATAAATATAAATTAGAATATTTATTCAATCGTCGATAACTAGCCCATTCACTAAAACCACTTCGAGATCTAAGAAGTGTATCACATTCTCCTAGAAAATAAAATTCCAATATAACTTTAAGAAAACCATTGTAGAGTGTTTCATAGGATTCTTTTTTTGAATTATATCTATCTATATGAACTATTGGACCAGGTATACTTAACATACGATCATTACCATAATGTTTATATATATTTTGTTGAACTTCATATGAATCCGTTGTAATAAATATAGACGAATATGATTGATTTAGATTTTTATCAATAAATTTTAACATATCTAGAACGATTGATGTTCGAAATGGTAATTTTGCATCTTTCGGTACTGTTGGATTTTGTCCAATACGAATATGCATACAAATAATTGATTGATTATATGATAATGAACTTTTCGAAAATAATTTATCTAATTGATTAATAACAATTGATGTTGGTTCAAACAGGAGTTCAAATATTAATGGAAATAATATTTCTTGTGTTGATTCATTTGATTGAATATTTATTTGTGATTTAATTAATTGAAAAAATGGATTCTTTAAAGCAGGTGTTATATAATCACTATTTGCTGTAAGATAAATATTTTCATATTTTGACCAAATCTCCATTAGATTACCGGAAGATATATTTGAATAAAGTTCAATTCCATATTTATGCATTGGATCTAATTTTAAATAATTTTTCTGTTCATATATATGATACTTGGGTATCCAATCGACTAGATTTGGTAGAAGAAAATGTGTTAAATTACATGGATATTGCATATCAATAACAAAACGACGTTGTAATAAAACAGCAAGAATATATGTTGAAGTAATACCACGAATTCTATCGCCCCATCCACCACAATATTTCGAACAGAAATATGTCAATGTTTGAGATGAAGTTGTTTGAATATGAAGAAGTTTACTGATATTAATATGAGGAAATTGTTGACCAAAATAAAATAATCGTTGATTTAATCGTGATTGAAATACAGATTTTTCTGATGATTGATTAATTATTAAAAAATTTAATGATTTCTTTTCGTTTATTGATTTATTATAGAATAATACGCTTACAAAGATAAGTATACAAAGATTTATTGAACATAAACGATTTATCGAGAAATAGCGTCTTAACATTAATTTAAATATTAAATATTTCTTTTCGTATTTAGTATTCAAATACGAAATTTTATGTCTAACACCTTTTTTCGTTCTTTGATATTACTCTAAATGAAAAACAAAAATAAGAACTTATATTACATAATTAATCAATCGAAAAATAACTCGTTTATTTGAATATATTTGTGCATTCAGTTGAAAACTAAACTGAAGAATATGTGAAAAATAAAAACAAATCAATTTTATCCTATGTTTCTGGTATAAAAATGTTCTTCACAATAAAGCCTTTCGTTTCGAAATACATAGTTTTTCAATCAATAGAAAAGTAATTTGGATCTAGGTCACGACTGTTTCTAATAAATCGTAATATATTCTTAGGGATTCATTGAAACCTACTATAGTTTGTTACAATATCATATTTTAGAATTTGACTTTCATCTTTTTATGGCGGTTCTGTAAATTTAAGAAGTTAATTATTTTCTGAGATATTATATACAATAATTCAAGGTAGTCATCTTATAAGCTATACGAAATGATTGTTACATTACGACATCAATCTAATCACAATGGTTATGAAATGTAAAGCATGAGTTTATATATCAATGCAATAGTAGATGATTGAAGTATTAACTTAAGAGATAAAATTACAATTTCATCTAGTTTACAACAATATCAAACATGAACATATTGTTCAAGTTGACAGCGACATATTTTATTTTACAGCAAGCCATACATCTCCAAGAGGAACGGAAAGAAAAAATGCAAATGTATGTATACAATTCCATTCACTTTTGTTGTAGCAATATGTGAAATCAGGTAGAAACCGTTTTTTTTCAAGAGGAATGCTTCAAAAGGAAGAAATCGTAAGAAAAATACGTATATATAAAATACCATCAATGTCAAGGTGGAGTAAAAGTTTTTTTTTCACCTTTTTCTTTACACGACGCGAGAGAAGGTACATTGGTGGTCATGAAAAGCACATTTTTTTAAAACACACAAACACGTCGGTTAAGTTCATTTTATTACTTTTTAGTGATAGATTTTTTTAGATTGAACATTAAAGATCGAGTACCGACTAGCTGATCATTTAACTGTAGCTTCAGAAAATCTATTGACAATCGTCTTTAAAACTAGGATGAGTACCCTGAGTAAAAATTGATTTTGTAAACATATCTAAATATTCTACGTATCTCATTTGACCCATCATATCTTTACCAAGGGACAATATAACGAACTTATTTGCAAATCTTAAAATAATATCATGATCGAATATTGAATTGAACAATTAGTCAAAAAAGATATATAGAATAACATAGGAAGACACACTTTCTAAATCAATTATGTTAACGATGCAGAGTTAATATTTTGACAGAAGAAATCTTCATGTTTTATTCTATGTATGAGAAGGCTTAATGAATTTTAACAAAATATTTGAATTATATGTTCATCTGTCTATTAGATGAGTACTCCATATCGATCTATAGCTGGTACAGTGAGATTATGATAATGAAATCAAAGCTTAAGTATCTAGGCGAATTTACTGTTGAACAATAAGACAAAAATCTATATAAGTAAGCATATAAAAATTTATTTTCATACGAACCAAAAATAGAAGCAACTTGATACCGTTAATACCAAATGTCCCTTGCAAAAACATTCTCTACGGATATAAGGTAATATAAGAGTATTTTTTTCCTGTTAAAGTATGATTATACCCTAGTTTGAAAGACTCTTTTACAATTAGTTTTCGCTGTTTATCAAAAAAGACCTCCTTCTGTTTTTCACATATATTTTAATTCATGTATAAAAATGATTGTTTTCATATTGTAACCACTTCTTCAAAGGTAAAATTTGCCCATAATTATTACCTTTTAGAAGTATAGGTTTATTTGTATTCCTATTTCTTAAATAGATTAGTATTGTTTCCTGCTGATAAAAGCCGTATGTATACTTTCATACAATAAGCAAATATATTTTTCCTGTTCGTAATGGAGTAGAAACAGTAATAATTAAATAATATCATCATATTTATCATTTATCTTTTCATTTAATAGATGAATATTAGGAGGTGTTATTGGATATGTATCATCATTTTCGGTATGACTATTCTTCATGTTATAACGATTACATTTATGTATTGGAGACATGGATCATTTTTTCCTATAAAACGACGAATATCACGTACAATGGTTGAATCTGGTGTTGTTATCAATTCTTTTAATCCACCTCATCTAGATTTTTTCTTTAATCTTACTAATACTCAATTGAATAGTATATCAATTATTTCTAATAATGTCAATCTTCTACAAGTATCACCACTATCCGAAATATCGATTGTCCCTGTAAACTTCTCCGATGGATATCATCATTTAGATATTTTAATGCTTGATGATATACACGATATTGAATTTTATCAACAAATTGATATTTCAACTGGTACTCAAACTTTACGTGTAACTATTCTAAATGAAGATCATGAACCAGTTAAAAATATATCAGTTCATTTAGAACTATCCATTTATTCACATATCACTACTCAACAGTATACGAATCAATTTGGTGAAGTTACTTTTAATTATTTATCACGAAATTCTCAAGTATATGTTGAAGCAATTTCTATGGCTACAAAACGTTATGCATTCAGTGGGCTAAATACTTTAAAATATCAAAATATAACTTTGATATTAGAAGAAATGAATTCAACACATTATGATGAGTATCTTATAAATAGATAAAAGATATGATTCTGTTTAAATAATTTTTTTTTGTTATTAATTTAAATATAATTCTCATAAATTAATATTATTCTATTTTTAAATAAAATGATTTAAATAATTACATTTTTGTCAAAAAAACAAAAAATATCATACATGAGAAGAATTATCAAATTTAGGTCCTCGAAAAAATAAATCTTTGTCATCGGTTTTCGGTATATCAAGTGTATTTGAAAATGGCGATTTTCGTTCAGTACGTTCTATATTTTGTGATTGTGGTAATTGACGTATTTGTTGTGGTTGCTGTTGTTGTTGTTGTTGTAATGGCCAATAATCAATACTATTTAGTTTCTCATCAAAATCAATACCAGTTATTGATATTCTTAAATTTCTTCGCATAACTTCTCGGATATTTTCATGTAAACGAAGTGAATCAATTTTCGCTTTAAATAAAAATTCTAAAAATGCAATAACCATTGCACTTCCAAGACCAATTATTAATACATAAAACATTCCAGCAACATTAGCTAAATTAAGTGGTCGACTTTGTTTGGAATCTTTTGAACCCGAATTTGTACATTCACTTCTTTCATAATACCATTTTTGTTTTAAACGTTCAAGAAAACCATTTTCAGTTAATTCTAATACAGCTATATTTATAGCTTCACGAAGATCAGAACCAAGTGGTGTACCTATTCCATAACCTTTTGCATCAATATTTTCACCAATACGCATTGTATCACATTGTAAACGTTCATTAACATATTCATTTAATGTTGATTCAAGAAGAAAAGCAAATTTACCTTTTGATTTTCGAACTTTTTCAATACCTTCACGATTTGATGCGACAAATACATCATCTTTATGTTGTTGCATAAATTCCCACATACGTTTAAATGTTGTTATTGTTGATTTATTAAAAAATGACATTGTTGAACCACCTTTTAATGTACCATAACGAATTTCTGTTTGTTTAGCAAGATCTTCAACAGTTTCAATTGGTGTAACTAATTTTTCAACAGTTAAAAAAGCAGCAAGATTAGCTGTATAGGATGAAACAAGAATTAAACTAAAAAACCACCATGCACTTGTTACAACTCGACCTAAACATTATAAAATTAACGATAGTAAAAAAACAACGAAATTTAATTTAACCTGATATCGATCGTGGTAAAAGATCAACACCTTGATGCATAAAAGCCGCGAATGAAAAAAATAAAGAATTTTGTATAGAAAATTTATTTCGCGGTTGAACATCCGATTCATTTTCAAAATACCATTCATATGATGAAAATCGGCTAACAAGAAATAAAATAATACTAACAAGTAAATAAGAAATAATCACACATATCCAAATTTCTTTTGATAATGGATCCATAAATGAGAAAACACCTGGCTTTTGTTTTTCAGGTTTACTTATCATTATTGATATACCTAATTCAATAAATGGTTTAGAAAAATCAACAACTTTTTCTCGTGCACCATTTATCGTTAATGATGCTATAGATAAATCAGCATCACGATTAAGTAATGCTCCAACCATTCCATCCCAAACACCTTTTTCAACTTCATTTCCATATTTTGTTTCAATAAGAAATTTATATGGAATTTGTAATTTATCATGACATATTGCTTCAGCTAAATCAACACAAAAACCTTCAACACGTGATGGATCAAGTATAGTACCAGGTGCAATACTTTTTTCTGTTATTGTATCATTACGATCTTTTTTTAACATCATAAATGGTTCATCGAATATTGTTACAATTAAACGTGTTCGATTATCATATAACATACGAGAACGATAGGATGAATTATCAGAAACCTAAATATATAGTTAACAAAGGGATGATATCAAACTATCGAAAAGAGGAAATCTCGAAAGGCTCGATGATCGAAAGAAAAAGTTTCGAGAAACCATCTTGAGGGTGTGGATGTTGGTGTATCATATTTATGGTAACTACACATACACTCATATCTACGCCCACATTCTCAAGATGCTTTGTGATTATTTTCTAGCTTTTTCCAATTTCGAGATTTTACATTTCTGGAGATTTGATTTTTCCAGGACATTTTTTTCGAGATTTTACATTTTCAAAATTTAGCATTCCGGAAGGTTTACTCTAAAAACATCGAAAGTAAAAAATATCGAAAAAGACGATAAAAAGACGTGGTAGGTAGCACCATTTTTTCGATATTTTTACCATTCGACATTTTTACTTTCGACGTTTTTACAGTAAACCTTCCGAGATATCTTTTTCGAGATTTTGAAGATAATTCCATTCAGTTATATTACTAGACATTAACTGCCAATTTGTATAATTTTAAACTCAATTGTTAATACCGATTATAAAAATATTATTATAAGATATAGAATCGTAAAAGTTATTTCATTATTATTTATTAAAATGATTATAGATATAAGAGCCATATTCCGGATCCGAGCTCTATTTGAACTACTTCTTGTATTATAGTCTATTAGATACGCATCAAAAAAGAAGATTAGGATTGACTTCAATATACTCTCTAACATGATAATAAGATGCAAATATTACCATAGATAAATAGTCTTTTTCTTCCTTTTGAATCCATTAGAGCTTTCCTTATGAATACGAAATTAAATCTCTTATGTCATCTTTAAATGAACTTAATATTCTCATTTTGTCTATCAATATTTTACCTGAAGTGTATTTGGTGCTTGAAAAAATCCAATACGTTTTGGTAATTCATTTCCTGTCACTCGATAAATATCTAATGTATAATTTATTCTTTGTCCAGTTATATTCGAAAATTGTACATGTCCTGATAAACCATCAAAACTCGTATTAATTAAATAATTCAAATAAATATTTCCTGATGTCCATGGTTGAATAAATCTATTACGACAATTAATTCCCGGTGTTAAATCATTATAAAATTTTCCTTGTCGAAATACTTTTAATTTTTCTCGAATATTATCCGATGCAATTAACATACGATTTATCGTACGCAATAATGTTTCCCATGCATCAGCTAATAATAATGATTCCACTAGAAAAAGATTATCTTGTTTTAATAAACGAATATAATTTTCATTTGTTTGATTATCAAAATTTGTTGGTAAAGAAAAATAAGTTACATTAACACCACCATAACGAAAATATGTCATATCAAGATTTTTTGCATTTAATGAAAGTAAAATATAATGATAATCTGATGTTGTCATACCACGATGTTTGATTTTATCCATTATTATACGATATGTATCAAATGAATAAAAATCTAAAACAATATACCGACCCGTTGTTTTTTTTGTTATTTGAATCTGTTGATAAAACTGGACGTGTTGGTGTATTTGTTATTATCTCAATATTTTGTAATAGATCATATGCATCATCTGGATCATCTAAAAATCGACTTAGGATATTTAAATATTGTGTTGAATTTGATACTTGAACTTGCATAAGTTGTTTAAGACGATGAGCACCACATGTATGATCATATAAATAAACAAGTTCAGTTATTTGATAACGACGTAATACAGAAGTTAATGCTGGTATGATGTCAGGCATTAATGATATAGAAAAATTATTTTTTAAATCATTATAATTATTCGTTAAACTTAAAAATGGTACTTGATATGTTGAACAAAAATCAGATATCCAATCGAAATCATCAACATTTATATGACCGATTATTGACATGATTCCATTTGATAATTGACTACATAATGTTGACCATGTATCAATATTGGAATCATCAAAATCTAGTGTATTAAAAATTTCAGTTATATTATATTGAAAACGTCGTTCAAGTTTATCAAAAATATATTGACGTGCTAATGGATTGATTCGTGTATAAAGTAACCGTTCAGATCCATAAAACATTGATCCTATATTAATATTTTTTGTTAAATTAGAGAATTTAAATAAATGAATGATGTATCTCTTACCAACCGGTATATTTAAAATTGAATGAACAATTTTAATATGTGCAAAATAGATAAATATTAAATTAAAATGCATTTTGTCAGGAGAAGAAAAATATATATTTATGTAAAAAGATTTCGAGCTTCTTTTTCTTGTCTAATCTTATCGTTGATATGCCGTCAAGAACATGCAATGCGATCGCTGCATGTTTTATTCCGCTAGATTAGCGATCATCGAATGAATATAGTTCTTTCTATGTCGATTTGATGCGGCAAGAAGATTCAATACTATCTTGCGTTCGCTCTTGTCAGCCAATGCATCATCAAGTAACAACATAAGAAGAGAAAATCCAGTTATTTATTATGACTATATTTCTTGAGTAGCTTCTCCGTTCTTTGCGTGCAAGTTCTTCTCTTCCTATAGAATCTATTATCTTCAAAGTAGAACTCTCATCATATCTCTTTTAACTCTCTTATATCTATATGTGCGCGCTCAACCACTTCAGTGATTGATTATCGAAGAAACAATATTTTTCTTTATGAACAAGCATGAATTATTTTTTGAATACAAAAAAAGGGGCAATCTTTTTTTTTTTTTATTTATTCAGTTGATATTCTATAGTATAGAAATAAATGACATTAAATCAATGTGACATTGGATTTAAATTAAATTATGTCTTTTCAATTCCCAAAAGAATATAAAAACAAAACGATTATAACAATAAATATCACATAAAATAAAAAACTAACATATTTAATTGTTCGCGTTTACATGACAGATGATGAATCGGGTGTTATACCAATAGCAATCCCTGGTGAATTATCATCATTAATAGACTTTCTTTTTATATCATTTGACACTTGATTATTCGAACATTGTTTAAATATTGCATCATATATTATACTAATTAAACTATGAATCATTCCTAAAGTAAATATTCAAAATAAAAAAAATCTAATATTAATTTTTAATATTAAATTACCTGATGTTGCATAAACACCGCCAAAAATTCCACCGATTTCAATTAATAATAACCAATATGAACGAAGAACTTCTTTAACAGTTATTTTTAAAGGACTTATTTCATATCGTATAAAAATTCCTGGCATTCCATGACTACCAGTACCATGATCAATAGTTCTTGTCTAATAAAATCAATGACATTTAGACGGAAAAAAAAAAGAAGATTTTATATTTAATAAGCAATACTTTTTCTGTAACTGCATATTGATATGTTTCAACATTAGCATAACTTGTTTGAACGACTGTTGGAACAACTTCAAGAAAATATTGAAAAACTTGTGAACCTTTAGAAAATATATTAAGTATTTTTTAAATCTATTCTTTTTATTTACTTGAATTTGCTATTTTTAAATCACCATTTAATGGTTGAATAAGACCAGGTGTTGGTAAACCAAATGAAAGATGATCAATACGATGCGAAAAATTCATAGCTAAAATAATAAATATCAATATAATTAAAATTACAAAAAAACTAGACTATTTCACCAACCCGTGTTCTGTACACCCATAGGACTTATATGTGCATGAGCACCAAAAAAATGAAAATGATCTAGGTAATTAAAGCAAAAATAATATATATACACAATACCAACAAAATTAATAATCATAGGATAGCTTAACAGAGGAACAAAAACCTGCCTTTCATATCAGTATAATGATGTTTATTAAAAATATGAGTATGACTTGAATCAATTTCGAATATGTCTTTATCAAATCTGTAGGTTACATTTTGTATTTTAGATGTATATGAGATTTATTTAACTTACTTTCCAAGAATAATGTGAAAATTACCAGCAAGTTTATTAACTTCTAAAGTACCATGAAGTCGACATGAATCTGTTTTTTGTTCTAATTGAATTTCTCTAAAATAAATGATACAGTTGTTTTTTTATTATAACAAAATAAAAGTTTTGCATTTGCTTAGAATAGAATCTGATTGGAAAATTTTTCTTAGTTTAAATCGTATTATTCATCTAATCCAAGTTTTATACTATAAAGCTTAGAAAAACAAGAATTATCAACATATTTTATAACGATTAGAATCAATGCTTTCATAATATTGTTTAACATCACCGATTATTCATCATGGTCGAAAAAATAAATTATATTCCAAGAGAGAAAGAGAGAGAGAATGCTTGCTAGAGGCTATATATTTTCTATGAAAAAGAAAGGTTATTAAGTCTTCTATTGAACGATATTATTTGGAAAAGAACAGAACTTTTACTGTGAGATATCTAGACAAGACTTTCTTTTCACATTGGAAGCGCTAAATTGAATTCCGTAATTTAATTATCTGTTATTCATTTTCTTCTATGCTAGATCAATTATTTTAATACTCGATGAAAATCTTTGTTGTAATAGATATTCATATGATACTCTGTAATATATCGAAAGATTCAAAGTAAAAACTTCTATTCGATTTAGTTTGTTACCGTTTAGGTAATTGTTCGAGTGT